CCTCTGCCTCCCAGGTTCAAGAGATTCTCCTGCCTCAGTCTCCCGAGTAGCTGGGACTACAGGTGTGCACCACCATGCCAGCTAATTTTTGTATGTTTGGTTAAGACAGGGTTTCACCATGTTGGTCAGGCTGGTCTCAAACTCCTAATCTTCAGTGATTCGCCCACCTAGACCTCCCAAAGTGCTGGGATTACAGGCGTGAGCCACCATGCCCTTCCTGGCTTTAAAGATGGAGGAGGAGATGTGCGCCAAATAGAAGTGGCCTCAAGAAGCTAGAAAGGGCAAGAACACGGATCCCCACCTCACTCACAATTCTCCAGAAAAAACACGACTCTGCCAACACCCTGATTTTAGGACTTCTGACCTTTAGAACGAGTAAGACAAATCTCTGTTGTTTTAAGCTGTAAATTTGTGGTAATTTGTTACAGCAGCAAGCCACTAAGACACACCTTAATCCACTGATCAATCTTAGCAGCAATGTGGGGCACAAAAAGTACTGTGTTCCTGCAGTGATACCCTTGACAATAAGATAAACCTGAATCTGGTTACACCTTTACAGCTGATTTCTTTTACAAAATACAGGGCAAGAACTCATTAAAAGACACCTCTAAGAAGCAAACAGACAAATCCAAAATGTTGGACATTCTTTTAAGAGCAGTTGACTCCAACAATTCAATTGCAAGCATAAAAAAGGTGAGAGGGGTCAGGCACAGTGGCACATGCCTGTAATCTCAGCACTTTGGGAGGCTGAGATGGGCGGATCAGAAGGTCAGGAGTTCGAGACCAGCCTGACCAATACGGTGAAACCCCATCTCTACTAAAAATACAAAAGTTAGCCAGGTGTGGTGGCAGATGCCTGTAGTCCCATCTACTTGGAAGGCTGAGGCAGGAGAATTATCTGAACCCAGGAGGCGGAGGCTGCAGTGAACTGAGATCGCACCATTACACTCCAACCTGGCTGGGCAACAGAGGAAGATTCCATGTCAAAAAAAAAAAAAAAGGAGGTTCGAGGAAGAGGAGACTGCTTTAGATTAGACACTTGAGAGAGACAACAAATTAACTTTCAAAAGACATTTTTGAGACAGGTGGGGTCATCAGAATATGGACTGGGTATTAAAGAACCATTGTTCATTTTGTGAGGTGTGATTATAGCCACATAACATTGTGGTTATGTTTATATTTTTAAAGAGATGCAGGCTGGGCATGGTGCCTCATGCCTGTAAGCCCAGTACTTTGAAAGGCCAAGGCGGGTGGATCACTGAGGTCAGGAGTTCAAGACCAGCCTGACCAATACAGTGAAACCTCATTTCTACTAAAAATAACAAAAATTAGCTCAGTGTGGTGGTGCGCACTTGTAGTCCCAGCTACTTGGGAGGCTGAAGCAGGAGAATCACTTGAACCTGGGAGGTGAAGATGCAGTGGGCCAAGATCGCACCACTGCCCTCTAGCCTGGGTGAGAGCAAGAGTCTGTCTCAAAAAAATAAATAAAAATAAAGAGATGCATGCTGAAGTATGCAGGACTGAAATATCATGAGATCTGTGATTTACTTTAAAACAATTTAGCATGAAATGATATGGTGGAAGCAGTTAAGATGACACGTGTGGAAAGATCCTGTTAATTGCTGAATCTGAGTAATAGATATAAAGGTGAATTCACTATACTATTCTCCATAACGCTGAAAACAAATCAATGCCAAAACCAATTTGAATTGGTTGGTGAAATTTATTTTATTTAATTTTTAGGGGGCCAAATCATTTTATTGAGGGGAATGGAGTGGCAAAGCAACGGTGAGGACGATGAGATCCATGGTTCTCCGGTGGGCCAGAATTTCCAAGGCTCTACAGCACTGAAAGCTGGTTGGTGAAATTTAAAATCAGGAGCTGGCTGGGCGCAGTGGCTCATGCCTGTAATCCCAACACTTTGGGAGGCTGAAGTGGGTGGATCACCTGAGGTTGGGAGTTTGAGATCAGTCTGACCAACATGAGAAACCCCATCTCTACTAAAAAATACAAAATTAGCTGAGCGTGTTGGTGCTGGGCACCTGTAATCCCAGCTACCTGGGAGGCTGAGGCAGAAGAATCACTTGAAGCCAAGAGGTGGAGGTTGCAGTGAGCGGAGATCACACCACTGCACTCCAGCCTAGGCAACAAGAGCAAAACTCCGTCTTAAAAAATAAATAAATAAATAAATAAAATAAAAATCTGGACCTTTCACTTCAAAATCTGGAATTCCTATTTCATTTGAAAAATCAGATGTGGGCTGGGTGCAGTGGTTCATGCCTGTAATCCTAGTATTTTGGGAGGGCACGGTGGGCAGATCACTTGAGCCCAGGAGTTCAAGACCAGCTTGGGTAACAAGGCAAAACCCTGTCTCTACAAAAAAAATATGAAAACTAGCTGGTCACGGTGGCATGTGCCTGTAGTCCCAGGTACTCAGGAGGCTGAGGTAGGAGGATCACCTGGGCCCTGGGGAGGTAGAGGCTACAGAGTTGTGACGGTGCCACTGCACTCTAGTCTGGGTGGCAAAGTAAGACTCCCATCTCAAAAAAAAAGAAAAAAGAAAAAAAAATCAGATGTGGTAAAAGAGCCCACATGCTTGCATGGCAAGTCTCATCAAGAACTGAGTATTGGTCACCTCTAATTAACAGTTTCCACTACACCCAATTATTCCGTTTATCATCACTGCTGCTTTTAAAAAATACCTGGTCCACAGGGGGATGGAGGCAGCAAACCACACTGCCATGTAGATACCTATGCAATGATTCTGCATGTTCTGCACATGTACCCCAGAACCTAAAGTGCAATAAAACATATATGAATATAAAAATAAAACACACACACACACACCCCTGGTCCAATTCCTTCAATTATATTACCTATTTGACATTTGGGTTTAGGACCCCTGTACTTTCACTAAGCTGGTTAGTAGCAAAAGAACAGAGCAGACACAACAGAGCAACTGAGTGTTGGCAAAATGCTGGGTGTAGATCCTGCTGGGTTTTTTTTTTTTAATTTGAGATGGAGTCTTGTTCTGTCACACAGGCTGGAGTGCAGTGGTGTAGTCTCAGCTCACTGCAGCCTCCACCTCCCGGGTTCAAGCAATTCTCCTGCCTTAGCCTCTGGGGTGGCTGGAATTACAGGCACGTGCCACCATGTCCAGTTAATTTTTGTATTTTTAGTAGACAGGGTTTCACTATGTTAGCCAGGCTGGTCTCGAACTCCTTACCTCATGTGATTTGTCCACCTCAACCTCCCAAAGTGTTAGAATTACAGGCGTGAGCCATGGCGCCCAGCCTAAAGTCCTGCTGTTGTGGTCCCTTCAGCAGCCCTAGATTCAATGTAATTCCCATAAGGCCATGCTAAACTACGGTTCCTGTTACTTATTGAGAACTTATTATAAGCAAAGTAACAGGTTTGGCATTCTAGAAAGGATGAATCTGAGAATAGTTCCTACCCTGAGGATACTAATAGTCTAATAAGTAAGACGAAACATAAATAAAAGCAGTTCAGAAAATAAGTGAGTTCAGGGTACTGTTCAGGGTGACTCCACATAGAATGCAAAGTGGGAAGTGACCATATGTACAGCTCAGGAGCAGATCATGAAGACAACAAAGCATGTTGAGAAATTCAAACTATCAACAAGCAATAGTGAGCCACTGAAGGGCTTTAAAATATAAGAACAAATCAGAAAGCAACACTGGAGATGAGAGCAAGGTCTCTTTCACTGGTGAAATTCCCTGAGTCCATGAACATCCTCTGAAGAGTAGGAAGCATGATCTCTCACCCTGGGAACACTGTATCTAAGCTTCTAAAATTATGCCATCACTATTTTCCTGAGTAGAGTGAAGTTTGGAACCCAAAGAGAACAAGAGTCACAGAGTAACTGCCTAGAAAATAGTTTCTTTCTCCTAAATAAAGTAGAAATAAATTACACGTATTACCACCCTACTGGGTTCCACTACTTTAACATATGTCATGGTCTTATTACATCTGAAACTATATTAAAAAATAAAAATGTTTCTTACTATTTAATATAAGAAAAGCCCCATACAAAGAAAAAAAAAGACACTTTGCTTATTGTGAATGAATAACATTACCTAAAATGCAACCAAATACTGACGGATATTAAATTATATTGATGTCTCGAAGACCAGGCCAGACTATTCTTAGCTCCAAAATGGAACCAAACTGGTATTACGACAGCAGTTGTCACCATGCAAGAGCATAGTTGATATTTACATAAAAGCAGCCAAGTCCAGATTCTGGCATACCAAACAAAAAGGACTAGAGACTGAGACTATTTTGTAACCAATAATCGACTTTAATCAACTACAGAAATCACAAATTTAAAACAAGGAGAGAATAAGGTTGCAGCATTTCCCCTTCAACATACTTCACCACCAAACTAAATAAGAATCAATTCCATCTGTGACACTTACTAGTTTATCCCACCTCTCTGATTCCTCATTTGTAAGTGGGGCTAACAGTACCCACCTACTTCATAGGGTAGTGCCTAAACCAAATGGTAATATATGCAAAGTAGCACAGTAACTGACACAGCAGATGCTCAATAAATAACATATTTTATTAATCAGTTAGCTTTGTCTCCATTACTTTCCTGCAGGTATCGCGGTATCTTATGATGCCAAGCTCCATAAACATTCAACATCCCAAAGCTTCTTTGGAGAACCAAGTTACGGTTCAAGGTATCTGGGACCAAAACTGGTATAGCATCCTGAAAACAACCGTCTCAGCTCAGGAGTCACCACATCCGCCAAGGCCTCGCAGCCCTTCTTGGGGTTCCCAGGCGTAGGTGCTCAGCCCCGCCCCGCCAATGGCAACCAGCGGGCTGAGGGGGCGGGCTCCACCGCACGTCCTTCGCGCTCCCGGGAGGCGAGAACAACTTCCAGGCCTCCTCCAGCCCGACACCCCAAACCCGGGCCTCCCCTCGCCTAAGCCTGCCGTCTTCCCTCCCAGCCCCAAGTCACCCAGTGCCGCACCTTGAGGTGGCTGCGCAGGCCGCCAGCGCCCCCAGACTGGTCGGAGATCTCGTACGCGCCCGTCACTAGCAGGTCCTTGTGGATCTCCTCACGGAGGCACTTGCGAGAGTTAATGGGCAGATGGAAGGAGATGGCGAGGACCAAGCTGGGGCCGAGCAGGAACAAAAGCAGCAACGCCAACGGACGAGGGCCACGCCGGGCTGGTGGGCCAGACAAACCAGACATGGTGCTGGAGACTCTTTCACCACCTCAGGCCTCTACCGCTCCGGAACCGGGAGGACCCACGTGATTCGCCTCTGACCTACTGATGCCGTCCGCGCCATTTTGGAGTCTGGCAAATCGTGAAAGAATCTATAGTGAACCTTTTGAAAAGGGAAGAAAGGATAGGTACCATGTCAAAACCGCAAGCTTAGGGGTTTAAGAAGCTTTACTAGAATAATATTCAAAAGTTTTATTTTTATTGAGGTTAGTGACTACTGAGACGGCCATGGCAAGTATGGGCAGCCCTGGAAGTAATTATCCTTTAACTTCCGGGAGATGTACCCACGAGTTTTAGGGCGAGTGACACCATAGCAACCAAGGCCCAATAGGAAACAGCCACAAGGCCCTTCGCTGGGCCCACCCACTGGCCGCCCGGGCGCGAGGGCGGGGGAATGAGGCTGTGTCTCCGGGCACAGGGCAACCGCAGCGCCTTTTACATCTTGATGACAACTGGGGCATTGAGACACTAGAGAGGAATATTTCGAAGAAAGATTTCAACTTGGCTATTAGCGAGTGTGGACCAGTACCTTAGACAAGAAATTGTAGAGGTCACCTGATGAATGTGTATCGGGCAAGATCTCCAGTTCATGTCCCCCGCAGGGTATTTGGGCTGGAGTGACTGGCTTCCTCAATGTGCAGGGTAATTTTTTTGGGAGGCAAACATTTAACGTCTCCTATGGCAGACTATATTCAAACCAAATTTGAATTTGGTATTTAAATTGAATAAAACAACATGTTTTGTTTGATCCAGTCTCAGATGAACATAATTGAGGGTTTACCAAATAAGTGTTGTCAGGGAAAGTGAGTATGTGTGTATTTTAAGTGCACAAACCCTTTAGGGATCAAATTAACTATTAATATTTTCAAATAGACAAGCAAATTGACATGGTAATAATTCATGCATTCATTCAACGGAGTACCTACTGTATGCCAGACACTATACTATGCATGTATATCAACACGTTTGTTGATTTAACAAACTATTATTGGGATGCTATCAAATAATCAGAGATGAAGAATATATGAAAATAAACATGGAATCGATTCTCTGCCTTTCGGCTAAGATCAAGTGTGGAAAAGAAACATGGAAGACACAATAACCCATATTGGGGATCATTACCTACTTTGATTAACGTTTATTGAGCATCTTCAGAAATATCCAGAAGATGGACTGTCTGCCCTTAGTAATGTACATGATTTTTTTAAATTTAGTCCATTTAATTCTTTTCCTGGAAACGAAATCCCACAAACAAAACAAGAACAAACAAAGGAGCTGTAAAGCATTTAAAGTTTTGACAAATGCCATACAATAATTATTTTATGAGGCGTCCACTTAGGAACACTTAGTTTGATTGTTGTATCCCTGATCTAAGATAAGATTGCTAGTGCACACAGTACATCCTGATAATTTGCATTGGCCTTTTCCCTGCGAAGGCAGGGAATCAGTATAAACAGTTATCTAATTCACTGTCTACTTGCATTCCTGAGGCTCTGCTGACCAATAGCAAGAGATCTGCAACCCATGAAAAAACTGTGTTTTCGTTAAATTTCTGTCTTAGGTTTACATAATAGATAATGCAATTTAAAATATTTTCACATGTCGTGATCTCCTTTGACATTTTAAAAACGCCTGTGAAATAATCTGGGCAATGTGTTCATTTGACAGATGAGGAAACTGAGGTTCTGAGAGGCCAATAATGTTAAAGATAAAATACTTCATGACACTTGTTAAAGAACTGTAAAGCAAACTTTTATTTAAGGGGGCCTGCCAAGATACGTAATACAGGGGCCTACAACAATGGGGTTTTGTAGCAGTGGGGGAGAGATCGGGCTCAATTCCAAATACAAGAAAAAGTAGGGATTTACAGTCAAGAATCAGGGTCAGTGGATGGAAAATTACTCAGGAAATTTGGGAGTAAGGGGAGATTCTGGCTAAACTAACTTAGCAGGATTCTTGCTAAAATTGGACAATGACGAGTTGTGGAAGTCTGAAAGTCAGAGCCTTGTTGAGAAGACAGATCAGAACAGCGTGGCTAGAGTTTGGTCAAGAAGAGAATCTTGGTCAGTACCCCAAATCCCATAGCTTAAAAGTGACAAAAGCAGTCTGGGGGCCTGACCTTTCCTCAGGAAGGTGCTGTTATTCCTTATTTTACAGATGAAGAAACTGAGATGCAGAGCAACTACTTTTCTATATTATTTATAGCTCTCAATTCTCTTTTTTTTTTTTTTTTTTCGAGATGGAGTTTTGCTCTGTTGCCTGGGCTAGAGTGCAGTGGCATGATCTCTGCTCATTGCAACCTCTGCTTCCCAGGTTCAAGTGATTCTCCCGCCTCAGTCTCCTGAGTAGCTGGGATTTTAGGCCCGTGCCACCATGCCCAGCTAATTTTTGTATTTTTAGTAGAGACAGGGTTTCAGCATGTTGATCAGGCTGATCTTGAACTCCTGACCTCCTGATCCATCCGCCTCAGCCTCCCAAAGTTCTGGGAATACAAGCATGAGCCACTGTGCCCGGCCAAGTCCTTTCTTTTTAAAATGTTCTTTCTTTTAGCCGGATGCGGTGGCTCACGCCTGTAATCCCAGCACCTTGGGAGGCTGAGGCAGGCAGATCATCTGAAGTTGGGAGTTCTAGACCAGCCTGACCAACATGGAAAAACCACATCTCTACTAAAAATACAAAAATGACTAGGGATGTTGGCGCACAGCTGTAATCGTAGCTATTCGGGAGGCTGAGGCAGGAGAATCTCTTGAACACAGGAGGTAGAGGTTGCAGTGAGCTGAGACTGTGCCATCACTCTCCAGCCTGGGCAAAGAGAGTGAAACTCTGTCTCAAAAAAAAAAAAAAAAAATCTTTCTTTTTTTTTCTTCGACAAAGAGTTTCACTCCTGTCACCAGGCTGGAGTGCAGTGGCTTGATCTCAGCTCCCTGCAAACTCCACCTTTCGGATTCAAGCAATTCTCCTGCCTTAGCCTCTCAGAGTAGCTGGGACTACAGGTGCTTGCCAATGTGCTTGCCTAGTTTTGTATTTTTTTGTAGAGTGGAGGTTTCAACATGTCGCCCAGGCTGGTCTCGTTCTGGGCTCAAGTGATCCACCTGCCTCAGCCTCCCAAAGTGTAAGATTATAGGCGTGAGCCACTGCACCCAGCCAATCCCAGCACTTTGAGAGGCCGAGGTGGGTGGATCACCTGAGATCGGGAGTTCGAGACCGGCCTGACCAACATGAAGAAACCCCATCTGAACTAAAAATACAAAATTATGGTCTCAAATTGCCTGTGAAAAAAAATTTTTTTAAGGAAAAAAGAAAAAAAATACAAAATTAGATGGGCATGGTGGTGTGCGCCTGTAATCCTGGCGACTCAGGAGTCTGAGGCAGAAGAATTGCTTTAACCTGGGAGACATTGGTTGTGGGTGTTCTGAAATGGTGCCATTGCACTCCGGCCTGGGCAACAAGAGCAAAACGCTGTCCCAAAAAAAAAAAAAAAAAAAAAAAGTGCTGGTACTACAGGTGTGTACCACCATGCCTGGCTAATTTTTGTATTTTTAGTAGAGATGGGGTTTCACCACATTGGTCAGGCTGGTCTCAAACTCCTGACCTCAGGTGATCCACCCGCCTTGGCATCCCAAAGTGCTGGGATTATAGGCTTGAGCCACTGTGCCCAGCCCAACCCCATGACTTTAAATGTGTCTGTAGACCTATCCCAAATGTGGATCTCCTCACTTCTCCCATAAGCTCCAGAATCTATATTGAGCTGCCTCCTTGACATCTCCACTTGAATGACGAATAGGCAATTCATACTTAACTCTTGATTTCCCTTCTACCCTCTTCCCCCACCCCATTCCCGAATCCGATTCTTCCTCATCTCAGTAAATGGCACCACCTTCTGTCTAGTCAATGAGACCATTCTTATTTCCTCTTTAACTTGCCTTCTCCCCAGAAAGAGCCAGTTCATCAAGAAGTCCCATCAGTTCTGGGTTGGGTCCTAGAACGTATGCTGGTCAGTTTCTACTTGTCTATAACCTAGGGATCCATAAACTGCTGCCTAGCTAGGCAGGGCAAGCTGGCACGCAACCTCCTGTTTTTCTTTTGCACAAGAGTTAAGAATGGCTTTAACATTTTTTGGGAAGAGGAGAAAGTAGAGAAGAATGTGCTCAAGTGACCTGCAAGCCTGAAATATTTGCTATCTGACCTTTCACAGAAAGAGTTTGTTTCTCTCAGTTAAGAAAACAAGACTCCTTAAGGTTATCTCTGCTTTTATTATTGCCTGACAATAATCATACTCATTAATATACCCAGAATTTTTTTTTTTTTTTTGAGACGGAATTTTGCTCTTGGTTACCCATGCTGGAGTGCAATGGCGGGATCTCGGCTCACTGCAACCTCTGCCGCCGGGGTTCAAGCAGTTCTCCTGCTTCAGCCTCCTGAGTAACTGGGACTACAGGTGTGCGCCACCATGCCTAGCTAATTTTTTTATTTTTAGTAGAGACGGGATTTCACCATGTTGACCAGGATGGTCTCCATCTCTTGACCTCATGATCCACTCGCCTTGGCCTCCCAAAGTGCTGGGATTATAGGCGAGAGCCACCGCGCCCGGCAATTTTTTTTTTTTTTTTTTTTGAGGTGGAGTCTCACTCTGTTGCCCAGGCTAGAGTGCAAGTGGCGTGATCTTGGCTCACTGCAACCTCTGCCTTCCTGGGTTCAAGCGATTCGCCTGCTTCAGCCTCCCAAGTAGCTGGGACTACAGGTGGGAGCCTACTACATGTGGCTAATTTTTGTATTTTTAGTATAGATGGGGCTTCCCCAGTTGGCAAGGTTGGTCTTGAAATCCTGATCTCATGATCTCCCCAGCCTCAGCATCTCAAACTGCTGGGATTACAGGCGTGAGCTACCAGGTCCAGTGATATATATATATATTTTTTAAGTAAAGCGGATCAACTAGATTAAAATCCAAACACTCAGCCACAGCCTGAAGGCTGAACTGTGCTCTGGCTCGTGCCTGCCTCTCTGTGCTCATCCTACCCATGAACGTCTTACCTG